GCCATAAATGTAATACTTAATAAAATTTACTAGTATCGTGGTTTTTTATTAGGTATGATAATAATATATCGTTATACTATCTGTGACGATTTAACGAACAATTTATTTTTCATTGTAGTAATAACCCTTTTAGAGACACAACAGAGAGATACCTAGGTATAAAAGAGTTGGGCTTTTTTTCATGTGTGTTTTTATTATCTGGGAAAAAATTAGCATCGTTATTTAAAAAGCGATAGATACATTTTTCGTTCAAAAATGTCAAATTTTAATTCTCAAAACAAAAAAATAATAAAATGTGGGCTAAAATTAATTAAAAAAACTAAATATGGACGCAAAGTTCTAAAAAACTAATGTTGGAAAACTTCTAAATAATTTTGTGTTAAAATTTTCCTCCTTTTCGTAACGGTTACGTTACGTAAATTGGCATGAAAATATTTATGCTCAATGTTTGAGGTTTATTATTAGGTATAAATTTAAATCTAAGTTTTATACCTACAAATATTTTTAGAATACACAATTTGTTAGCTCCTTCCGTACTTTGAAAGTACCTATTCAACCATAAACAAATTTATAGATTTACTTAAGTATCATGGAAGCCATTTTCGAGTCAAAAAATACAGTTTGGTCTCAAAGTAGCCCGGCTCGGACCAGTAGTTGGAACAGGGTGGTTTTTAATCAGTAAGAATCTGAAACTCTTCTCTGAATGAAAAGGTAGATAGTAAGAATACTACGAATACTTACCTACTAGATATGTTTTTTTTTCAATTTAAAGCTACCGTATCATTGTTTCTTTTTTACAATATGTCGTTAGGCATCCTCAATGTCCTGTGCCTGATATCAATGAACGAACAATTGAGGTTTGATATTGTGATCCAATTGACAGAGTCACTGTATGTCGAGAGGACGTTAGTCGATTTGACTGGAATAGACTAAAGTTACCTCACTGATGAAGCAAGAACTACTTATATTTACGATTAATTTTGTGATTACTTTAGGTAGGTACCTATTGTTTTTTTTTGTCAGTAATAATAATATTCTTTATTGTACCTACACCATGAGGTTCAGTATTGTTGATCCTTAATATTTTTGACTTCCATGTCACTCTGACTAAGTGCGCGACAGGTAAAATTATCTACCATTCTTGTCATTTTAGTAACCAGTTGAAATAATAAATATTTTATTTATTTAAATAGGTATTTTTTGCAAAATTCTTCTGCCGAACGCATTTTCTTCCAGTCTACCTTAGGGTGATACAGAGACAGATTTTATACATTATCATTATCCACTAGAAGGGATCCACTTTCGAACTTACCTACTTCTCATTCTTCTATTGTTTTCTTTAGTTTAAAAAGTATTTTATTTTGTCTTCCTTTCTGTATTTACGTCTTGTAAGGGTCTTTATTTGACGGCGTTGCAATTAGCTTCACATTGATGACTTAAGATCTGGTAAGGATATCAATAAAACGAATTTTTGGACAGATATATTAATGTTTAATTACCCAAAAATTCAGGACTCGTTTACCAATTACCTAAAACACCTATACCTAAATTTATTATTCATTCTTACCTACACACTTAAAAATTGTTTAAGTATCCTCACCCAATTCCATCCTCAATTCCTCCAATCCCTAATTAAACTGGTGGTGCGAATGCTATTCCCAAATAAACCTGCCATATTACCATCACAGATATTGTGACCACCAAACAGTAGCTATGGCTAAGTCATTACCATTATGCATATCAATTCGGCCATTTATAAAAACGTCTGCTATTTATTATAATTCATCGATGGTTATATTTTAGAATTATTAGTTACTTGTTTGACTAGCTCGTTTGTTTAATGTACTTAAAGTTGTTGTTCCAGGATCTATACGAAGAGGATGTTGTCCGTAGATGTCTCTTTCTGTCCCAATGTCCAAGACTTTTATTTATTAAAAAGGAATCAAATTCTGTTCTATTTCTCTTAATTTTTTTTTTATGTGATAGGACGGCAAGCGAGCAGACGGATTACCTGGTGGTAAGCAATCAGCGGCGCCCATGGACACCCGCAACACAGAGGAGTAACGAGTGCGTTGCCGACCTTTTATGGATAAGGGATTTGGGAGATTTAGAGATTGGGGAGGGATTTGGGGAGGGGAAGGATTGGGCCTCCGGTAACCTCACTCACACGGCGAAACACAACGCTGTGGTTATTTCACGCCGGTTTTCTGTGAGGCCGTGGTATCACTCCGGTCGAGCCGACCCATTCGTGCCGAGGCATGGCTCTCCCACACTTACTCTTCCCACAATTAGGTATTATCAGCGATTTTATTTTTAGCTTTGTACGAAAATGCTCTAAAGAATATGTTTTTATTTTGAATGTGTTCTTACCTACTTATAAGTACAAATAGTAGTACCTAAATAGTTTAACACCTCTTTTTTGACAAACTTCTTGTGCCTCAACTCTTGCGTTATTTTTGTCCGTCAATTACGCCTCTTCTTTTAAGGCAGGATCTTGTACATACGTAGGTATATTTTCCCGAACATATCAAGTTAAGATATTACTTTGGGGTTATGCAAACGTCATTATTAGGTAAATAATAAATTTTACCTACATACATGCAACACAACTTCTCTTAATTTTAGCTAAGGTGAGCCAAAGCCTATCACAGATAGGACTATAGAGTCCAATAGGGCTGATGTTAAGCCGCGGCCATGTACCGCGGCCCTGGCCTTGGGGAGTTGGTTTTTAATCAGTAAGAGTCTGAAACTCATTCTCGTCTCATCCAAGGCTGGAGAAACTATTCGATGTTTTTTCCTCACAATAAAAAAATATATTATTTTTGTTTTTGTAAGATATATGTACCTAAATATGCCCCAAAATACTTACTTAATTTAAGTAGGTAGATAACCGACAAACATTGATATCACATAACAATTTGTTTTCATCATTTCTATTGAGTTTGCCCCACACTGGTATTCACAGGATAAAATCCTATTTCACAGAGGAAAATTGTAGTGTGGGGCAACGTTTTTTTTTTTAAAGAAGAAGAATTATGTATTTTGTTTCGATAGGTAGGTACCTACCTACCTATCTAAAATTTTTTGTACCTAAGTAAGTACTACTGAAATTTCTATTCTTAGAAATAAATCTAATTAGGTAGATGCCTCTCTAGACAGGTATTTGGTTGGCACCTAATTTAAGTCTAGACACCTTTTTATTTAGGTATTTATATTAGATATTTGCGTCTTAAGTACTGCCGTACCTATTAAGGTTTCTAGGCCCTCATTAGGTACCTGAGCCGGGGTTGCGAGGTAAGCGCAATGTCACCGCGGCTTCGGCCCAGAGCAGGAGAAGGAACGGGGGGTTTTTATACAGTAAGAGTCTGACACTCCCTCCCACCCGGCCCTGGGCGGGAGAAGTTATATGATGATTTTCCCTTGACAAAAAAAGGTACCTATTTAGGTTTCTTCGTGTTCATTACCTATGATCTCTTAGGTACCTATACCTAGGTACCTATATATTGATATTTTGGCACTTGGTACGTACTTAGGTATAATATATTTCTTACTAACTAAATAATAATACCTAGGTAATACCTACTTACCTAAGTAGGTACTTATAAGTAGGTAGGGAGGTACTTACCTAAGTTGTAGGTAAGTAACCGAACAATTACCTTTTTCAAAGGCATAGACAAAAAATATAACTATGTAGATGATCTACTTACTCGTGAGGTAGGTAAGTATAAGCTATCCTTTTTTAAGGGGGATAAAATATTCTTAACCCTCTTCTTCCGCTCCAGGTGGAGACGGAGTGTCAGACTTTTACTGACTAAAAACCACTCCATTAGGTAGGTACTTCTCCTGCTTCCTGTACCCTGGCCGCGGTAAATTATTGTAGGTAGGTACTTGCCCCTCAATTGCTGAACATGAGCCCTATTGGGCCGCATCTGTGGTGGTCGGTCGGTACTTAGGTACCTACTGGGCTTGGTACCTGCGGTGTAGTTGTCTTCGGAACCTGTGAGGTATCTAAGTCACGCATTTAAAACTTGTGCTTGACTAGCGATAAAGAAAATTAAATAAATAAGTACTTGAGAACCGAACTCAAGATCCCGCAGTCAAGCTCGTGTGTTGTGCCCAAAATAGGTAGGTACAAATCTGACACAAGTAGGTAGGTACCTAAGTAGGAAAGTTACCTACCTTACTTATTATAATGTAATTGCTACCTACAAAGGTAGCTTACCTACTATGCTAGAACTTAGGTTGATAGCTTCTTTTTGGTATGTAAACTTCGTACTTATTTACTCAAAATAGTCTCATTTACAACTTTAATCCGACTTAGCCCGATAATGTTTACCTACCTACCTATCTATCTATGTAGTACATTTACTTATTGTTCTTGTTCAACCTTTCTTATCTTTGATTGACTAGTTATATACCTATCTACTTAAGTTGTAAACAAGCAACGAGTTATATGTTCAAATAAAATTGCCTTTTGTTTCCAAGTACCAACGTAGGTAGGTAATTAATGAACAAGCATATCATAACACGCCATGTCGCCAGCATCCATTTTAAAAAGTTTTCCACCAATTACATTGACGAGACAATCATGTCGGCCGCAAACAGAACAAACGTGTTCCAAATCCGAACGCTGGAATCCGCGCAAAAACAATAGCGCGCGAGAGCAGCGACAATTAAACGCGTGTAATTAAATGCGGGCGGGGCCTCGCGTTAATGAGGGACCGCTCAGAGGCGGCGGCGGCCGTAATCAACATTAAAGATTGGCGGGAGATGCAGCGCCCCGCGCCCGCGCCCCTCATTACTTATACAAAATACTTAAGACGCGCGTCGTCCCGCTCTCCGCGCGCTAATAGCTCGCGCCCACTCGCTATCGCCGTCCCGCTTCGGCCGGCGAGCGTAATTAAGCGCTCGCATCGCCTCGACTCGCTCCGGCCCTCGCCACGCCCCCTGCGGGGCGCGGGGCGCGCGGCTCGGGCGGGGGGCCGCCGCGCCGGCCGCGCAGTGTGCCGGCGACCGTTGACTGTGCTGTGTCGCGCGTGCTGCGACCAACCGCACCCCGAAACGACAAACTCACACCACAACACAACTTTAGTTCCTCATTAACAGTTACAGTGGGTGTTTTGGTGTAATAACGAAGTTACTTGTGTTTTGACTGACCACACTCGAGTGTATTAAGTTCTAAGTTCTGGATACTGGACAAGTGATTAAAAGTGACTGCGTGCTATGCCGCAATTAACAGTTTAGCTGCGTTCTGCGGGCGATGCTCACAGGTTAATATTTACTTTTTAAGTTTTCTTATTGGAATCTAATTGGAAGGAGGATAACCTAATGCGGAACTATCGTTTTTAGTTCAATTAGAGAAAGTCGGAAACTTTCAAAAAAATATTGACATTGTTTTTGGCCGAAACAATGTTTGAGCCAAAAGTTCGTTGAGCAGTTACGAAGTTATTTTTATCGGACTTACGGGTGAATTTCCAAATTTTTCCAATTAAGACTTCAGTTCTATTTTCTCGCTTATTGCAAAGGTTGTGTTTTCTGCATTAGTTTCAAGAAAATCACATGTCTTCACTATGGAAGCTCACTTTGCAATATTTTACGGAATACAAACAATAAATTAAGTGGTATTCCGTGCATCGGACTTGTTTATTTGGATCATATTCCTACTTAGAATCATGTTTCAATTAAATTTGTCGAGTTAAAAGTGATTTAAAAATACGCAAATCGAACTCCGTAAGTCACGTAAAATTGCTAAGTCACAGATAAAAATACCTGTTTTTCAGATAAACGGCCTGTTTTCTGTGAATGGATATACTTGTATTTTTTTTTAATTAGATATTACGTACTTTACATCTATTCATAAATTGAGAATAATTTGTTAAATGTATAAGATTATTTGAAATTACGACTTGTATTAACTTTTTCAAACATTTCAAATGTTTTATTTTAATCTTATAGAGAAAACTCATAACTATCGGCTATGTTAACATAGGTTTTATCTCATCAAAAGTACCTACCTGTATTTGTTAAAATGTCAAAATTGCTAAAATTGGATGTTCCGTCGCGCGCGAATTTCGTAAAAGGCGAAGTTTTTTGAACGATTTAAAAAAGTGGCATAATTAATTTCGTTGACATGGAATTCTTTAAAGAACAGAAAAACAGTGAATTCTATGCAGCCAGTATTTTATAGTTTTATTGCACTTTCACACCGATTTAAAATATAAGAAGTGATGCTTTAGAAAAAGTGTTTTATAAAAACGATATCTAACTAAGTGTTTAATTTTATACGACGACTGAAAGTTTGTTACTTCATGTTTGTTTTTTATTTATATTTAGTTTAAACAAATTTACCTTGTAAGTAGTAAATATTCCTCCCGATTTTTAATCGATTTCGATTCGGAGATATACCTACCTATATTTTTTTTTATCTAAGAGGAAGTTATGCTGGAATTAGTTTTATTTCAATTGTTTGTGTTACCTATGTCAAATGACGTGATTATAGTCAATGACCTCTTAAAAGACACAGTAGGTATAAGGTTGGTTATACCGTGTTTTTCTATCTTCAAGAAAAGGTTTGAACAGATGTTAATAAAGTTAACGAAACGAATTAAAATATCTAATTATTATCTGTTTTAATTGTCTATTGTATAAAGATAGTCGTGTTTGTTTTGGGCAGTAGGTGGATTTCAATGTGCGTGAATGGAAACCTGTCTCCCCCTTTCAAAGGCTCAGTCGACGAAACATTGATAGATGCTCTAAAAAAAGGATTAAGAAGACTTTTCTCTAAATTTCATTACTATATTTAAGATACGCGCAATAAAAATTTGCATTTTCTTGGGCAAGACACGGTTATGAAGAATTTAAATTTCTTTTCTATTCACGCGGAACCATTCTTTCTTTACTCAAGAGTAAGTAGATGACGAGCATTTCTCGTTGTACAAAAAAGTAAAATGAAACTGTCAACGGGTGATTCTTAACATCAATTAAGAAAAATTTAATAATGTCATTATCCTCAACCGAAAATTAACGAGTCTGCTGATTAAAACACAGATAATTATTTTATTAAATTAAATCTCACCACTGCTTACAAGCAACCGATTAAAAATATTGTATAAAATAAATTACTAAGATGCTTAAAAACCTGGGAGGATAATGACTTGTTAAATAAAAGTTAAGGTTTTTTGGAGAATCACCCCAACAACTCAACAATGTAAAAACAAAGATGACTATTCAAAATGCGTATCACTGATTTGGTCTTAATTTCGATTAGTTGAAATCAATGAAAAGCACTTTTTAATCAACTAGTTAATTTTCCTTTAAGAAATTCAAATTGAAATTGCCGTTATTCGCAACCCGTGACATTTGATAATCGCTATATGAATACCGTGTAAAAGAATTAAGATCTTAAATGCTTTACAAAATTATTATTAACTAAGGATTTTGCACGATATTAGATTTTTTATAATTATTATGAAAATTAATTGTTACCTACCTCTTGTGGGTAAGAAGAACCAGTTAAAATTGCAACCAGTTCTATAAAGTTCGTTATCTAATTACACCTAAGTATAGATATCCATCTATACAGAACTGTAGATTTTATTTATTGTAAAACGCAATAAAGAAAGATTTGATGGCTATATTGTTCATCGAAGCTTACTAAAAATCATTCCAATTAACCGTTAATCAATATTCGGTACCTATACAAGAATTCAAATAAGAAACCCTTTCATACGTCAGGCGCATTCCCGCGCAACGGGCGGCCATCTTGCGCCGAGATTTCCCGATACACATTCAGGATAGATCCATTTATCAAAGCGATCGATATCTATCGCAAACAGTGTTTAATTTATTACTGGTATTATAATTGATTTGTGCGTAGGCGCGTAAGGTTGGTGCGAATTATACTGACAATGGCGCCACCAAAGACGTTATGGTAATGGGACCTTATAAGCATAACACTTACTTGAATAGAGAACTCCTTTTTAATTCAGCTGCCCTAGTACCTACAATTATTTGTTGGTGACATTTTTATTGACAAACAATGAACTTGGTACGAATCAAATCAATAAATGAAGCTTTATCTCTGACGATCATTTTATTTATTCCAAAAAAACATAATTAGGTAGGTTATTCATTGTTTAGGTACATTGTAAGCACATATTATTATAATTTTTGCAATTTTCGTAATTATGGTGACTTGTAGTTAATTAAACCGTCAATATAACCCATTAATAACTATAACGGGGACGCATAAGCGATTGTGCAATGTTAAGTACTTCCTATGTTTATCTATTTATTGCGAGAAGTAATGCTTGCTATAAGAACCGAAATCCAATGTGTATCTACATAGAAAGGAAAAAAAAACAATACGGTCGACTCCTTATTTCCCTCCCTATTTGGTATCGTCGAAAGACGAGTTTATAATATTTATAAACCAATAACTAGGTATTTCTGGTAATTTACATAAGTTGTTAATAGTCAAACTTATGATGGTTAAAAATAACACCCTGTTTACTTAATAGGCTAATGAAAACATGAGTGGTTAAGATGTTCTTGTCTCTTTTACACTTACCTGTCACCTTTCTGACTTAAACCTCATTGCTCTCTTTATGCTAATTGTTTTATAAGTTACTCGTAGGTTTTTATTTTCAATTAAATAAAAACATGAGTCGACAAAATCTTTGATACGCATAACATTACCTGAATGGAACAAAAAATGCTCCTCATACCTACCTACTCCATCTTAAAATAGTTTACGTGCTGTATTTTTTACATTACCATATGTATCTTTAACAAACACGTGATTTCGGTTACCTCGCTACCTGAAACAATGAAAAAATCGTTTATTTATTTATATATTCATTGTTATTAAAGTCCTATATGCATGTCTGTCCGTTTCGGTGTTTTATTTCGAAATTTCACGAATGATTTCATAAAAATTAGGTACGAGGAATTTCGATAAATTAATTTAGGTAAATCGGTGTGAACAAAAAAAAAGGAATTGTTTATGTATTATTTTCGTTACACGAAAAATAATGTCACATAGGTAGGCATTCGATGTTTAATTCACGATCTAGAAGTGTGATTTGAAACCAAACAGTCGACTGGAGTACCTATTAGCAATTTTAATGTGTTCAAAACACTGTGGTAATAAGCTGTAGGTTTATCTCGTTATAAAATCCGGCTGGAATTGTCTAAGGCTTTAAGGGAATTTCAGTCTATAGCAGTATACATTTAGATTGTTATTTGCCAGTTCCGGGATGAATACGTTTAGAGATTAGAGTTTATTCTTTTTTTATCTGCAACTGTATTATTTTTTTATTTTATTTTTTTATTTTTTTAAATGACTTCCAAAATAAGGAAAGGTACCTTAATTCGAGCGTATACATATGTATATATTTTACTTTATCACGTAAAAAAGTAAAACCGGTTTCATATTTATACCTACAATTTTAAAAAGGCTTTTTAAACCTGCTTTTCGCCTAATTATTTGACCGACACTTGTTAAAATTTGGTATCATCTTAATATTCGACTATTTAGATGACATTATTAACTTGTCTTTACAAATAAGGTTTCGTTTGATAAAGCGAGATAGAAGTACCTAGTTACTATTAGAAAAATGCCAATTAGGCAAAATAAATAAAAAATACCTACCACTTTTTAGAGCGATTAAAACGATTATTTATTTCCATACAAGCGCTTAAGGAACAATACGTTTATGTACACATAGTTACATGTATAAGTACTTAAGTACAAGTAATTAAATATGTACTTATGTCTCGCTGTTGTGTCGAGGTGTAGGTACTTACTCGGCTTGGCTATGAATAGTCCCTCCCTGTCACATTCCGTGGGAGTTGCAAGCAAAACTGAGGGATTTATTAGGACGGGTAGTAATAAGTAATAACTACCTTTGGTTGCATTATGACATCAACACTCTAATTACCATATAGCCTAAACTTCATTTTAGTCTGCACTCGGAATGTAGAAATGTAAAGTCCGTTTTGTTGAAAGGCTATTCGAGTTCCTTCGGGTATTGTGATTTTAAATTGTATGTTTACTTAACAATATGATAATTCTCATCATAATCATGAAATTAATCCATATTAACTAAAAGAAAACACACGAGGTGTACTTATTGGATATTTAAACATAAAAATTCCAATTAGAATTTATTCTTCTATTTATGTTGATACAATTTTGATTCATTTCCATACCACTACCTCGAAACAATATAGGTAGGTATATCATTTTATCTTGAAATGTTTCATTTGC